CCCTGTATCTGCCTGTCAAGAAGGATAAAAACCAAGCAGCACATTATTTCACTGTATTTTCTGRAGACCTTGCAGTTCACTCCCTGTATATATTTTCATGTTATGTAACAAGGAGGCTAATGTTCTGCTTTCTGTGTCTTTCTATATACTTGAACTTGCTGTTCGAGTAGTTGGAGAACACATCTTTAAAAACAGTGTCTGGGGGGCTTGTACAGTCTTACATATAAACTGCTTAAATGGAAATACTAATGTAGATTACATGCATATAAAAGCCTAAATAATATATGCATATATACATATATTTACACACATAAGTTTGAAGAGAGGGAATAACGGAAGATTAAATAGATAAAGAAATACTGAGCGGGAGAGGAAAAGGGAGGAAGAGATTTTAAGCATCCAGTTTCTATTCCAGACCATGTGTATTCTGCACAAACAGCCAAACACATTAAACAAAAGCCAAATACATTTTCAGATCCTGTCAGGATTTGCTACATTATGTAKATATATTAAAATATACACACTAAATCCTTTGATTATTTCCTAATAGTGCGTCTGGAGTTTATGGTCCTCAGCCTACAACATGAATCTATCAAAGGGCACTAAAAGTAATATCAAGTAGCCAAGATAGTCCCGAATTCTGGACCAAGCTGTCACCTGTCTGCAACACAAGGCAGGACATGGTGACCAGGGAGCCTTTTGCAAACCAGCTCCGTGAGCGAGAGGCCACGCAAGGTGCGAGGTCCTGTGCCAGTGAAACCCCACCAAAGATACAGGGGCAGGAATAACGATGCTCAGGAAAGGCAGGAGGGGCCATATGCTTATCGCCCTTTTCAACAGAAAAAAGGAATTTAGTTTTTCAACTAAAACGGCATTTTTAGGCATATAATTATATTTCAAAACTTGCTTTAGTCACTGAATAGTAACAATTATTTCATTGTCCCCTAAAAACGCTAATCTATCAATTAATAAAATTAAAGATGGCAATATAGTCAATAAATTAAGAAGAGCTGGATGGGGTAGGGAAAGGGTTTTTTCAGCAATTGTCAATTTTTTTTTCTACCCATCATTATTTCTGGAAGACATAAAAAATACTTGAATGCAGCATGTGAAATGTTTAATGTGCTATGGTTGCTATGTTTTTTTTTTTTTAATCAACTGATTTGTCAAAGAAATCCCAAATTTGTAATCAGAAGTGGAATAGTGAAAGCAAATCAGCTATCTCAAATTAACACAATTCTTTCACACATACACTATCAAGCACGATCTTTTAGTAACAACAACAACAAAAAATAAATGGTGGAAAAAACCCAAAAACGCCTTTAAAGTCGGTGTCAAACCGAACGTCATGTATTCTGCCCAGCTCCTCGAGTGGTCCACTTAAGAATCCATTTTAGCTACTTTTCCAGATAAGGTTATCCATGAGAATCATACATTTCCCCATAGGTAGAAAACAAATATAATTTGTCACATGTTGTGCTACACAGACATTTCTGCACAGTTGCTGCACGTCACTAGAATGTCTGAAGGGGAAGACACCCCAGGTAGTTGGCTGCAGACACATCTCAGCAACATGGCACATAGCACAATTTGACACATATAGTCTTTATAAATCCAATGTCTATGAAGTCAAACAAATTTCCTTCTTATTTATAGTAACAGGCAAGAGCAGATCTCTGCCGTCTTGTTACACAGATGGTTATAACATTTTTGTAGTTAACTTACAACCACTGATGCCTGAGGAATAGACACACATCTGCCCCAAATTGCCAGTCCTGTAGGCTCTTCTTTTTCACTTTAGCTACCAAAAATACAGTTGAAATACATGTCAGAAAAAAAGGCTACCACAACAAAAAGCCTCAAAAATTTGCCTAAAATGTATCATTACTGTTAATGTTACACAGATTAAACAGTGATCACACACACATCAGAGGAGAGGAGAAAAAGAAACAACAACAACAACAAAACTGCTTACCAAAACAGAGGTTTCAGAAAACATGCCCGATTCCAYGGACTAAACAATCTTTGGAAAAAGGCATTTTAGAGACATCACACGCTCATAAAAATTATTGTCTATACCCTCTTTATTTCTTGCACCTGATATGAATGATAGGCACGGATGGCTCATTTTATTTTAAGTAAATAAATAAATTTTTTTTAAAAAAGAAAGTTACTGGGATCTTCTTCTACACATTATCTGGTCAAGAAAAGAAAATATATATGGAGAAGAACTAGCTATATTAAATTAAATGCTTCACATTTTAGACATTGGCTGTTCCTTAGAAGAAAATACTTATATAGATAAAGTGCAATCAAATGCTTGCCCTACGAGAAGAATAGATGCAGAAAAGTAGAGCTGTAATTGGGCTCTGTACATCCCAAGAGCTGTTAATCAAATTAACTGAAAGCTTGAAATATTCTGATAAAATCCTGACCCATGGCAGCTTGATCAAATGAATTAATTGTAATGTATTAATGAATGTATAGATAGTGCATCTCAGCATATCTCTGCCCTTTGCTGCTTACTCCAAAATTGGAAGAGATCAGAGCTTGAAAGAAAGTGGGTCTGCATTTATAGAACTGACCTAACTACAGAGGTGAGAGTGGCACACTACTGCGCGCTAGAATTTGGTTTGGAAACATAARAAGAGGATGAACAAACATTTTAGGTACCATTATTTATTTGATTTTTATTTTAATTCTTCTGAAATCTGTTTTTGCACAGTGGGACACAGCAAGATAATAGAAGGGTGGCTTAAGCTTTTATTTTTGCTGTTTTTCTATCTCAGTAGTTATTAAAAAATACATACTTTCAGCTGTGATTTCTACACACATCCACAGACTGGGATTTTGCAGAATTTAAGCATAAAAATTGCTTTAGAATTTAAGATCTCTGCCACATCACAGGCAAGATTTCTCTTCTCACAGACTCAGATCTACRGAGTCACTGTGCTGACCTGCTCATTTCCAGCAGCACAGCAGTGACTCTGYGCCACATGTTACCTAATACCTCTGAGATAATATACTTAGCCACACAGATTGCTGCCTAAAATTAAAACCATGTAGCTGAAAAAAATCAAAACAGTAAGAAACTAACATGATATACATTTGAAAGCAARGATCCACAAGGTTGCTGGATTAATAACAATAAATGAAAACCCCTTTTAAACTCCACTGCAGTATTAACATGGCTCCATAGTCACAGCAACTGCAAATTTTTTAATTCAAGTTCCTGGATATCTACTTCTTTTAATGGCATATTTCACAGAGCAAAAGCATACTGAAAGGGACAGATACTCATATTATATTCAAAACATCGATTAAAGCTCATCTTTGGTGACTRCAATTTTAAAGCAATCTTTAACAAAAAAAGAACTTGTTATATCATTTCAGACAATATTGCAGCACACATTTGGAGAGAAAAATAGGAATGGTGAAGGAAGTTATCCTGTACATTTTCAGGAATGCAGGTATCACAGCCGCCAAAACTTTTATATTCTAAAAGCAATGTTGACTGATCAGCCTTCCACAAAATAGTTACATCTGTTGTAGTCTCATAGCAGAACACAGGCCATGACAGGGATTTTTCTTAAATACAAATACCACATTTTGTTCTATAAATGCCCCAGATGAATTAATTAAAAATAATCTTGTTTTTTTTAAAAAAAATAATTTTCTAATGGGCGCTAGAAGAATAGCAGAAATAAAATAGACAGGAAGTTACTGCATGTGGTCAGGTAACAAAAAGACAAGGGCTATTGGTTATACTTGCTGTTTTTCTTCACTTGGAACTGAATAGTTCAAGGCCAATTTATAGCATTTGGGAACTTATACTGAAAAATCTATTTAGGTTTTGACATAGGAACAGGAATCAAATTATATTAAAATTTTACAGCAGGTTATTACGGCAGCTTTGTCACTAATTACCTGGATTTTTAATAAATACAGTGCAAGATCATCATTAAAAGGATGTTAAAAGAGTCCCCCCCTCCTTAAAATGCTGGTAAAGTATATTGGCCATGGTTCAAACACCTACTAATCTCTGCCATATTTACATATTCTGCAATATTTAACATGAGACGCACTATCACTGTCCTGTTTTCTCTCCTTGCTGTCATCAAAACAGCAGCAGAAGGTAAGGCACTGCCTGCAGCACGAYCACGCTGTTTTCAAACCACTTCTCTGTTCTGGATTAATGCTTTCAATCTTTCCTAGTGTATAATCACTGCTGGTACGGCAGAGCACAGGTCCAGCAGATCTATTCCATTCTGACATAGAGGAAAGGTTGTCCTAAAAGCAAATCACTCTTAATTTCAACCATACTATCTCTAATATATGGTACAGCAGAGTGTGTGTGTGTGTGTGTGTGTGTGCGTGTGTGTGTGATTTATATAACATACTGTCTGTATAGTAGCTCCACACTCACGTTGCTGCAGCTGCTCCCAGATGATCCTCAGAAAGCCACGGTTTCACTCAAAGGCTACTTGTATCCAGAAGCTGTTAATAGTATTCTGAATACTAGGATTTAATAAGATTTTTCTGTTTATTCAAGTTCTACATTTCTGAGCAAGTTAAGATGTCAATACTGAAAAATACAGCCATTATGTGCCACCATAGAATCCACATCTGTAGCCTACATTCACATTACTGAATATCCTCCTCTCTCCTCCCACCCTCTGCGCTCCGTATTTTTTTGCGTATGGTAAGACAATTCATCCAAGTTAGAGCAGAGAACAGCATAAGCAGCCCACACACATATGTACTAGGTTTAAATTCTTTGGAAAACTATATTGTACAAGCTTTCRTTTTATTTGTCCAAAATGGCACAAGCAGAAGATGTTATAAAAAACCTCCAAAGAAGGACGGCAGGGTAGGGATGCAGTCATTTTCATGAAAGAAAGAATATTACTTCCAACAACACAGTGTCATTTTCCAGTTTCCACACCACAACGGGTACAGTAGATCATACCATATACTGACAGATTAACAGGACCTCCTACCTCGACTTCATCCTCTCGTGCATCCTCCCATGCTGGATACATTGTTGCTCCAATTCATCATTCCTTTTCTGCATCTTCTCCAATCTGCCATGAAGATACTCTTTTTCCTGACTAAGCTGGTTGACTTCAGATCTACAGAAGTAAAACAGTGATGATGGATGTTGTCAGATTTCATCCTGCAGCGTGCCATCAATATGTGACTTCAGCATTTATAAAATTTCAAGCATGTAGATATAATGCATAAACAGGCTATTATCAGAGCTCTCAGGAACAAAGCATGGATTCAAATAAGGAGGCAGGACACGATGCTGAAGGGCAGCTGGTAAAAGACACCAATGGCAATTACCCAGCTACAGGTCAGCTAACTTCAGGCTAATTTAACAAGCATGCCATTTGATATCATGTGCTGATGTTAAGATCACTAAATGCAAATTCATAGTTGTGAAGCAACGATTTGGCCAGCACTGTGAGAATGTACTTCGCAAGCTCTTCAATCACAAAAGCTAACATCTAATTTAAAAAATGGATACAAAAATCCTACTGTAATCGCCTGAACTCTCACTACTGCTATAGTTTTAGAAATTTTGCTACTATAATAGGCCCCAAATACAAGTGGAGATGCATCACTATAGGAGGAAAATGAACATAAGCTTAAGAAATGAGGTATAAACCATGCAGACATACTAATCTCTGCATATCCTTTAAGAAAATTAGTCACTTTAGCAATTCTTACTTTTCACGAGTGAGCAGATCTATGAATGACCYACAACTGCTACTTGCTACATTTCTAACCATCAGCCCATGAAAAAATAGGCATGAGCTGTTTCTTAATACCACGAAAGGATATCAGATAAAATTGTGATAAAATATACATTATGCACTTGTACAGTGTAACTCTTCAGAAAAGGTTAATGAGAACATGTCAGAATCTGCTATACGATCAGAAAGGAAGGATCAGAAGCAAGCAAATTTGTTTTATGGCATCTGCCATTCCAGATCTTGAGGTTAAAAAGCTCCAGAGATATCTTTAAATCATAAAATTAAATACGCTGCAGCTACAGAACAAAGATGCTTTACCTTGTAGACGGCTACAGAATGCAACAATCACTGACATTTAAATAAAATAAAACAAAGTACAGGGGGACTGGAATACTCTTCCTTCAAAACCATGCTGTTATACTGACAAGTCAAATCTGGAAATGACAACATAATCTTTCCATATATAAATAGGGAACAATACAAGATATCATCTGTGAATCTAAAAGAACAAGAGCGACTTTGAAAAACTGTGTGTGGTGAACTGAACGTTGCAGCTACWGGTCTACCAAGGAGGATCACTGAAAAGTATGACAGAGGCGAGCCCGTTAAACTCGTATGCAGGAGAGGGCCCTGGATGCTGACATAAAAACAGAGAGGAAGTTGCAGGGAGGCAACTGAAGTCCAGGGGTTACATCAAACACTTAACAGAAGTGCTAGTCAGTGCGGAAGGTCAGCGCTAGGGAAGTGTCAGCGTTTGGACCAAGCAACGTCATCGCAGCGTGACCGTGGTCTTCACTGATACTGATATTGCCAGAAGGCAACGGATGGAGAACAACAGGGGTTCCTCAGAGAGCACAAGCTCGTGAGAGATGTCACACAACTCATCTCAACCAAGTGGCAAGAGGGATTCAACTCAGCCGCCGTCTTGGGTTCCTTTCCTGCCAGTAAARGGCAACCTTAGGATGTGGCCTGTGGGGATACTGTGAATGTTTCTGTTTACAGAGTCTCCCACTTGTGGGAGTCTGCTTTTTAAATTACATTTACATGTGGTTAACTGATTCACAGAAGCAGCAGAAGCAACTTTCAAAATAGTAAAAATCCAAAAGTTTTAAGGGACTTGTTCACTCCTCTCCAGCACCTGTAAGGTGCTGGAATTCCTTCTGGAAGGATTAAGGTATTCAAACTTTAGGTACCTCAAAATAATATGCTACCGAAAGCCCTTAAGGAAAGGGCTGTTTACCCTCAAATAAAATAAAATAATAATAAAATAAACTTACTTAGAGGTTATTAATTCTTAAAGAAAACAAAAATATGCTCAATTCATTGAAAACGACTAGCATGATCTCTGAKACATAAAATACAGATCTAAATGCTTAATACTTCAAATGTTATACTTGGCTTGYGGTCTTCTCCTGAAATCCCTCTTCGCTAAGACTTGTCAGAAAAAAAAATTAGTTAAAAAGTGCATCTGCACAACAGTCCTTAGAAGTCTAATATCTCAGAGATTGATCACTGGGATTCAAGTATTTAATTCCATTGAAATTTTGACAATACATATGAAGGGCAGAATGCCTACCAAAATCAATGTTAAAAAGTTTAGGCAAGGAAACAGGCAATGACCAAGGGACATGCACTGGCATTTAAAAGAGAACACTGGTCTCAGGACAGGGATGCAGATCAAGAGTTTTCATTATCAYTTGACTTAAATTCCTTAGGTTGCTCTGTACAGACCCCTTACCTGGCTCAGTTTCCTAAGGTAGTCATAAGACAATTATTTCTATGTGAAATATTTTTTAAACAACTTCAGAATGTTCAGTAATACAGAAAGCTACAGAATTGCAAAGAGCCTGAACTGCCAAGGGAGGCTGTGGAGTCTCCTCTGGAGCTCTTACAAACCTGCCTGGATGCCACCCTATGCTCTAGATGTCCCTGCTGAAGCAGGGGGGTTGGACTAGATGATATCTAGAGGTCCTTTCCAACCTCAGCCATTCTAAGAGTTCTGCTGCTGGAAACGGCACGGAACACGACCGCATGTCCAGAGCACAAGCAGCAATCCCACCCAGCCAAGGTCAGGATAACCACCGCTGCCCTGCTCTGCTCACAAGCTGCCACACGCCATGGAGAGGGGAGAAAGRAACAAGCTCCAAATGGCACCTTCCCAAAAATCTGAGGGCCTCCGATGTGGGAGCGACACAAAGTAGGAAAGCCTCTAAGCGGGATGCTCGGTGTGCCGGGGCAGAGCCCACCAGCCGCGGCACGGACGTGCCCGCCGYGCTCCACCACAGCTACCCTGCCCCAGCAGGAGAGCCAGGGACGGCGAAAGCTGCTGCAGGGAGAAGCTCCCGGAGCTACGCTGAGCGCGCAGACCTCTGGAGCGTCGCCATCGGGCCGTGCTCGGCAGGGGCTGCGCAGAGCCGCAGGCGGCTAGCCAGAGGGGGAACAGTCACGGCGCTGTAGCCRTGCGCGGCTGGTAGGACTCCTGTGGAATCAGTATTAGTTCAAAACTGCCCAGAGCATAGAGGCAGCTTCACATTGATTTTAAAATATAAAATGGAAGCTCGCTTCTAAATAGATGTGCAATAGTGCTGCAGCTTTGCCAAATCTCATGTAATTGTTCAAAGTGATTGATGATGGAATGAGCTGATTTTTCAGCACTAAGATGGCAGCGCTGCCTTTACTCCTCCAAACAGTCTTTTGCATTACAGCACTCGGAGCCTCAGCACAGAGGTTGTCTTTTTAAAGCAGTGTCTTTTCCTACTCTTCAAATCACTTGCTTGCATAGCAATTACATACAWGCTGCAAAATATTTTGGCTGATACAATGAGTATCAGGATAGTAATTCTTCAGATAAACTGTATATAACCTTTACAACTGATCCTGGACACGGATCCTGTTCCATATTGCTGTCCTGCTACCTTCAATGAACATTTTACTCGTGGTATTGAGTGCAGTGCAGTCAACCAAACATGCAGAAAAATAGTTCAGCTGAGTCTGTGTTCTTTACTTCAATTAAACTCACACAGTTGGATGCCTACTGTTGCCAAAACAGTAATATAATTTATACATTATAGTCCAAACAGTAAAACTACACTAAAAGTCATTTAACAATATTTATAACACCATAAAATACAGTGTTAAAATATATGAACTGCAATATGTACCAAAATTATAAAATTTGTTTCTCATCATCAGTGATTAAAACCAGGATCATTGCTCTAGCTTCAATACTCACAACCCTGGTGACAGATTAGAATTCAAATCTTAATGATCAATTTACAATTAACAAGATAGAAGTGAAACAAATTAAACCAACCATTATATATAACGAGACCCAATGGACTCCCATTGTTCCCCTTAATTACAAAACGCAAACCACAAATACACAGTGGGCAGTGTTAAGCATTAATCCACAACCCAGAAATTCAGACAGTGACAATCAGAGGRAAAAAAATTAACAAAATAGCACAGAAGAATTCAACAAAGGACTGTGTTTTTCAACATGCCTATGCATACAAAAACCTGCACAGATACTGTCTGCTTCCTGTACAACTTGAGGGCTTTATAATTTGTTGACACTATCTATAATTTGTTAACACTGTCTTTCTGAAGCTCTTTCTTATCCTAAACATAGGTTCCAGCTTACACATAAACAAACATTTCAGCTTAGATCTCTCAGAAAGTCTGTGTGAAATATCAAAACATCCATGCAGCTTAGAAATGTCCCACTTACATTGTGCTAATAATTATCACAGATAAATTTGAAATGCCTCATTAAAAATGGACCTTTGAAATGCTATAAAGAAACAGAAAATTTAAATAAACTCACTATTACATTTCTTACCAAAAATACTTGGGTGTTTTACCTATTAAACAACACAGCTGATATTATGCAATTGTTTCTTAACCCCATGGAAACTTAGGTGTAAAAAAACCCAGCAGTACAGCAAGAAAATGCATAACTAGGTTCAACATTCACATCCAGAAACAACATTTCTGTCTTAATCCTTTCTTGTGCCCTGGGATAAAAATGTGTTAGTGTTACGGTCAGGACCTCCACAGTAACTGCAGTTTATGGTATGGTCACTAAGCCAAAAGGAGGGCAAAATAATCTTTTCTGTACAATTCTTTGCTTTATGATCTGCATTTACTGATGTACACACAAAGTAAAGTTGTAAGATCTTCCAAGGATGGCATTTCTCCAAACACAGAGATAGAGGATCCCACCTCAGAAATGTAGTTCTCCACTACCATCCAGGACAGTGAGCTATGGAGACTGCCTTTAAGAGAGATGCTACTGAAGGATAACCACAGTTCTTCATGTAAAACTTTGTTGAAGCCATTTTCTGCATCTGACTTTCTGCCCACATCACCTCGTGAAGCYGTCTCTTGGCTTGCCATTTTCCACCACCACCAGTTCCTCTCTGTTCCCATTTTCAGGCCTTTTCTCAGCTCTGCCCTTCCCGTCGGCCCATTCCTGCATCTCGCTGCAGCAGCTCCCACTCCCATGAAGGCAATCTCAAGCTATATTAGGGCCCCCTTTTCAGGTTCTTGACACAGTGAGCTAATGCTGCTAGGTGGAGAAACACTTGGCAATCTCTGCTATTTATTTTCAGATAATAATGTGTTTTCACAGTATGTTTTCTGCCTTTCCTGCACCCTTTTACAGTTACTAGTCTGCGACGGTGAGCTCTAGCAACAAAGTCTGTGTGTGTTTTTATTACTGGAATAATATCATTTGAACATTACTGAAAATCTATTTAATTTTATATTACTTGAGCAGAGAAGCTCTGCTTTTTCAGGAGAAAATCCCATCTGCTCATCTCTGGAGTACCCATCACAACACTGAAATGGATTGAAAGGGTGCTTACGTTTCCTTGAGTTTCTGATTCCTTCCCCAGACACTCTGTATGGGATTCACGTCGCAACTTCAGCCATGTATCAGCTAGTCAACACTTTATATTCAGTGGAAGGTAGGCTGGGCAGTGGAAGGAGTACATGTGGGAAGCATCTTACATGCCTGCCATCTACTTAGTCCCTTAAGACCATTCTTGGAAACCAGATATTGGGCTAAAAGAAACCTCTCCCTGACCGAGAGTGGCCCCCCTTATGTTACCTCAACAGGGTGACTAAATCCACCCACCAGAATAATCATCATAACCTCAAGACCTATTCTGTCTCCGCCGAGCATTTTTAGTCAACTTCTGTGCATAAGATGAATCCTACCCCTAACTACCCAATTCACTTTGCATGAAATTTGCATAAGTTGCCGAATGCCAGCTCACCACGTAACTCCTGTTTCCTAGCCTAAATATGAACCTCGCGAAAAGTTTCAACATAGAGATGAAATATCTATTTAAAAAAACAGAAAATCAAATGAAAGGAAAAAAAAAGAATTATATATTAAAACAGGAGTATGAGGGCTGCAATTACAAAATTCCCAGTTATTTAAAACATGATAGTCTTCTATGAGGTGTAATATTAAAATAGATACCTTAATACTCTTTTATTTTAACCATTTATTGCTTCCTGATTTTGTTCTACAGAAGTTTTCAAATTGCTTTGCATTTAGAGCTGCTATTGATTTTAACAAGCATGTCACAAAAGAAGTGGTGGCAGAATTAGAACTCTAATGACCAAAAAAAAAAAAAAAAAAAGACAAGAATTTTTTTCCAGAGATAAATATCTAGTATGCAGTACTGTGAATTTAATTAATACAACCAAAAAACTACAGTTTATAGAACCTGAAATAGCTATAACTTCAGAATTGAAATTGTAGCACTTTTGTTAACTATTTTCTACTTTTCATATTAACAATATGAATATCAGGAAGAGTATAATAGTATAACCTTTTTATACTGAAATAGTAAAAGTAATTTGAATTWATGGTGAGAAAATCACAATTTCCCTGGATAAAAATCCATATGTTTCTTTAATGATGTATTCTACATTCACACTGAGAAGCTGAATAGCAAATGCAAATAAAAATAAGAAAGTATAGTCTAATAATAAAAGGAATAGGATAAAAAATATACTAACCTGTAYTTTTCTGATATTTGCTCCAACTTCCTTGCCAACATACAACATTCTTCCTTYAATTTTGCTACAAATGTATTGTGGGAAGTCAGCAATGAATCCAGTTCATTTACTAGAAATCATAAAATTGGAAATAGATTTCAAAATTTTGTAAAAAATCAAAGAGAAACAATTTAATATATTTTAAATTTCTTTCTTCTAGACCTACCATTCTTTGTATATTTTTTAAACTTGGGTTATCTAGRCAAGGCAGTATAATATTAATCAGCATTTACCAAAGATGAGCTATATGCCAGGATAAACGAATGTAAAATGTTTGTTTTTTCTCAGGTAATATCCACATGTCCCCACACTCCCTTCCCACTCCTCAAATTCTTTTTTTTGATTCTTATCATTGACATTATCTTGTATAGGGTAGCAGGTTCCCYGTTTTCGTAGAGATACTTCAAGCCTAACAGCTCACTGTCCTTATTATCACCTTCCAGTAAAAGGCAGGTGATGCAGCTTCCTTTAAAAATACACAGGGGTGTATATTTCTGAGAGGACTAAGACTGGGAAACAATGGCCTACCAGATCTTCCCATGCTCAGTTGGTGTAGACACTGATGGACCTACTAGAAATACAAGACACCATATACTTTTTTAAGAAAGTATCTCCCTTGATTACTATGCCCTGTGCTCACTATGATTTTTTTWAAATTATTATTTTATTTATTTATTTTTAATGATGAGCTCTAGACTTACTGTCAAGTGGCAGGCACAGTAAAATGATGCTATAAATATATTCGCACATACTACCACTTTGGCCACACCAAAAAATCACGACCTAGAAATCAAAGATCTTTACAGTTTCTAAATGAACATATTGCAGAAAAAAGTTTCCTATTTCTGCTTTTGAAAACATCCACAGAAGAAAAGTTATCCAAGTTTCTTACATATGTGTAAGTTCAAAATAAACATGGGTTACTTTATGTACAAAATAAACAACTACCATTATTTGCAGCTCTTCCTCATTGTATTAGAGATATAAAAAGCCATAGTCAGTCTTAATGTTGCTTCACTTTGGTATACTGCAACAATTTACACACCAAGAGGGGTAAATTACACATCTCTTATGCAAAATTACACTCGGTCATATACAGATGTGTTGGGTAGAGAAGGGAAAATGATTCTGAGAACTTCTTTTCTTCTCCTGCTGTGTAGACAGCAGTCATAATGTACTTGTTTGCATACTCTGAACACAAGCTAGGGTCTCTCATAATGTGATAATGCCTCAAAAAAGGCAAAAATAAATTAGATGGAAGATGTAAATGTGTCTGCTACCTCAGGTATTAGCTGGCACTGTTTAGGAGTAACACAAGCTACATTTTTCTAAAGATGTTGTGAGACAGGTGGATGAAAATGGTATTTCATTAAACATATGAATATACCATGTTCCATAAAATCTGAAGCTCATCAGTCTTTCCATGCTCAGGGGTTAGAGATTTTCTCTCCAAAAAAAAAAATTCTTTTGTTTCTAACTTGGACCTTTATTAATGTTTTTGTCATAATAGGTAGCAATAAGGACTTTTTTAAAAAAAAATCATTTTACTGCCAAATTAAAGGTGAAAAGTTATTGATCAGCCAAAGCAACAGAAAGAAGTCGCTTTATATGAGAACCTGAAATATGCAAGGGATTAAACATCTTTCTTCTAGATCGAGAGTGAGGGGGGACATACTAATGATAAAAATGTTTGAGGCTGCAAAGATTAAATAAAGGAACATATCAATTTGGAGCCAGTGAATTACATCCAGCTGCGACAGTGAATTAAGAACCGATTAATGGCTAAAGCTTTTCTCCAGTTTGGATGCCGAAGCAAACTCATTAAGCTTTTAGAGTAGCTATAATGTGTGTACTGTGGGAACYGTTCAATGCTATTCAGGAGACTTTAACTGTAAGCTCAGAGCATTTCCCGCAGAGCTTCTGATGCTATTTTCTTTATATAACATGTGTGCCTGAAAATCCAGCCAAAAACAAGCCCTTTGTTTTTCTACTTTGTTGTGGTCTCTCTCAGCTTTACGTTTCTTGAACACAGGTAAATAAACTCATAATCCAGATGGTGCAACAGATGTGAGAGCAGCACTCTGAAATCAACAGACAGTGGGCAATACTTTCCATTTTCTCTTTTAAACGCTAACTAATATGTAATTCGGAATCTCCGGTGTAGTTAGCATCTGCTCCCTTCGGCCAGCCAAAGGTTACAGGTGTTCCTGATGTCATTTCACAGTAAGGCGTGGGCCTGGCTTGTGAGTGAGTGCCCAGGCTCTAATCTTTCCCTACCACCTACCAGTTTTCTCATGCTGGGCCTCCATTTGCTGCATCTTCTGTGTCAGCTCCTGCTCTCTTTGCTGGGCCTGAAGGGCTCGGGCCTTTGCTTCATTGCTAATGCTGTGCTGAATGCTCTCTTTCTCCAATCTATAAAAGCCAAAGAGAAAATAAATACAAATAAAAATTCTGCATTGAAGATGAAGAGTAAAGCAACAAAATCATTCAATTAATGATAATAACAGCAAGAAAATCTGGCCAAGCCTTTTGCTTGAAATATTCCCCTCCCACCTCATGCTGCACTAACTGACCTTTCTCTTGCAATGTCAAGCATTCTCCAGCGACTAGTAAAAATGAATAAAAAATGTGATCTATTTCCTGAGTAAAAATTACCCTTCCAGACAAAAAATGTTTCATTTTAAAAAATTTTAAACACAACTTTTTTTCATAGGGAAGTTTCTCTAAATCCACTTTGCATTAAACAGATTATTCAATCTTTCTTTATATGCGATAAATTTAATTTTGCAATGAAATTTAGGGACCTGATCCCAAGATGGACCAGTTCCCAGTGAATCAGTAGGAGATAAGTCAATAGAGGCGATCTCCACAGTGCTCATAATGCAGCTATTCTGAAAGCCTAATGAGTTTTTTTAAGCAACCAAACAAGTTTTAACTATTAATTTATGTAAATAGGAGATGAATGCATCCATTACAATACAGAAGACTGTTAGCATTGCACAGGCACAGCCGCTTGTGGTTCTGCTCACTGGGGGGTTGTACAGGAAGGTCTAAAGCCTGGTATTATTACTGAAGTATGCAGGCAAGAGAGCAATTTACTTGACCAGATATGCAAGATGGGGCAATCTATTCCTGAGGCAAAACAAATGCCAGACAACCACACTCCATTGAAGCATTTTATTTAATGCAAGCCAAGCAAAAACAGTGTGGAAAACAAGACAAGCAGAGAGAGATAGGCACATAGAATAGAAAAAGTCTTGAACAACAAACTGAGATCTGGACCTTCTCAAGGATTGTAAATATTCATGTTGCGCACACATTTGGATCTAGATTCAAAATTTCAGGGAGTTCGCGCATATGGGGATGGATTTCTAGATTTCAAATGACATAGATACCCACACAATCTTCTGTCGAAACTACATGTAAAAGCTTAGGTTTCCAAAAAGTCTTACAGATGTTTAGTTTAGCAATAATACCCATAATAGTGGACAACAAAATTAAACATGAGTATAGATCACATAAGGACAAAGCCGTATCTCATGTGGTTGCTACAGTTAACCCTTGGCTTGGTGCCTAATAACCCATCCGAGATATTGCAATATCTCAGCATGACATGCACAATGTTAAATCTTCTCTCTTAGATTTACCCGAAAGCAACACAAATGGTGGGTCACATTACACTAATTCCTGGTCCTGATGTTGCAAGCTCTACCTTAGGCAAAACTCCCATTGAAATTACAGACTCCCAATTTTCCCAATTTTTTTTTCCTTTTATGTTCTCTTTTTCAAGAGAGAGAGGGTTGAGACTGATTTGACACAGATAATATGTGTAAATACAGAGACTATTCTAGCTATAAAGAAGTATTTTTTTTCAAGAAAACTTCATACAACAAACTGCACATTTGTTACACTATTCTTAGAATGACTTTGAAACTATAACTGGGGCTACCCTAGGGAACTGATGCACGCATCCCTTCCTGAGTGCAAGTTCCAAACATGGAAAGCATTACTAGGAAATATCTTTCCCTATTTCCTGGAAATCCCTCCACTCAACCCCCTCTCCCCACTTCCAAGTATCTTTCGCATTCAGGCAGTTGTCACGAGCACTGGACTGCTCAGCACAACACCCCACCACCCAGCAGAGCTGCCAGACACCCTTTGCTACAGCAGGTGTCAGGAGGGCCGCGTTTCCTTCAGCGGCACCTCGCCCATGGCGGCAAGGTGGGCAAGTGGGTGCTGCGTTGTGGCCTGCACTATGGCGGGCGGATGCGCACAGTGAGCAGCGGCCGTGCGCACGTGCCAGGCCGCGCCGCAGAAGCCACCGAGGAGGCAAACCTTTGAGCGGCCATTTCGCGCAGCCGCCAAGGAGGCAAGCCTGCGAGCGGCCATTTCGCGCCTCTAGGGTCCCTCCTGCCTACAAAGGGCATGTGCCAAGAGGCAAATGGACAGCGAATGAAGAATGTGCAGCCACCAGGAACCCTCTGCCAAAGGGACACATCCGAAAAAGCCACTCTGCTGTGCTACCTACTGTGCACTGTGAACTGTCAGGGTTCAGAAACAACAGACCGTGGGGAGCAACCTGTATCTGAAGTGTATACATGGTGGATAAAAACAAATCATCTTCCGTAGTGGATAAAAGTGTGACTAATTCTAGAAAGACTTTTAAATCTAGCTTGGCTGTAAGGCTAGAAAGACACAAATGAGTTTTAGATGGAGTCTATAATGTCCTCACAATAGAGTCTAATGTCCTCAGCGGGRCAGCCCAGAGCACTCCCAGGTAAGTGTTAGGCAGGCAGGGCAGCACCGCAAGCAGCAAGTCCTGCCAGCGGAGGGAACGTGCTGGGCTCTGGGCTCCTGCTTCACTTCCAGGGAGCTGAGCCCCTCCATTACTGTATTTGAAAATGAACATGTAGCTTCTCTATAGCAAACTGCAAAAGAGTTTGGGTTAGTCTTGAGAAACTACCAGTGTTTTATTCACAGCTTACATTTATTTACAGCACCATGCCACTTCTGAGAATAGGACTTGAGAGCTTATGTTTATTAGAAACTTGTCAAGATTTTGGCCAATAACTTTGGGTGCAATGCTTTAGCAATGGCCCATGCTGTATACTCTGCAAGCTWGAGCTAGCTTTCCAAACCATCCTTTCATAGGTTAATGGTATTTCAGCTATAAGTGCCATGGAAATAATGGAAAATCAGAGCATATCCTTGCTCTTCTCTCCAGTAACTGGTAGAAGACACAAAGCAACAATCACAATAAAAATGAACAGAAATGGAAACAAAATGTCCTAGTCATGTTAGGAGAAGCATCAGAAAAAGGTTTTCAAAGTCCCTAACTGCCTTATCAGAAAATACTGCAATGATAAAGGTGATAAAAAAGGCACAGCATAAGAATATACTTTGGGTCAGAAGGCTTCACAATTTTTCCCTATCCTCATACATGTTTCCATATTATAGCTCAATTGTAAACAGAAGGATAAGGGCTCAGTTTCTCCTGGTGACTGCACAAGCCTGACAGCTTTTCAAGTAAAAAAGGAAAATATCATACAAGCAGAAGTCATTCTCTCCATAAATGGTCTTAAATCATTCTCTCTTTACATTAACACAGAAGTCCTAACACTCTACCGTTCAATTTAACAGCAGTGCAACAGCCTATTCATATTTATAATGGAGAACATATTTCTAGGGTTATAATATTATGTGAAATCTTTCAATATTTTCAGATATTTAGATTATGAAGTGCAACACAGTATGACTCCAAGTTCTGTAGGCAAATAAGTGAATGCTGGTTTCAAGTGCAACCATAATACAAAAYTAGTGATTTCCACACCAGTGGAACAGTTCTACACCAAACACCTTGCTCAAATGCTTAWGGTCAAATCAAGAACAAGATTAGGTCTCAGAAGATTTCCCCCTTTCCCTTTACGTCAAGACTTCAAGAAATTCTGTGTCTGGTGTTGGTGGTCTTGGTCACCTTCCTTTGCTAGAGGAAGCACAACCTACTTCCTAGGGTTAAGTATTTTCATCTAATACTTTCTTGTTAATACCCAGAATGGTTATGACTAAGGACACAACTGAAAAGACAATATTTTCTGTAGAAGATTTTGCAGAAAATTATAGTGTTTCTTTCACTGAAATTTTTGTTTTCCCAACTGTTTTTAATAAAGGCATTATTTTTTCTGAGTGCATGTTCAAAACTGGCTGGATACTGTGGCTATCTGTGCTTTCACAGGGCAGAAGGAAGAACATGAAACAAACGTTCTTCTGTCCAAAAATAAACTCAGAAAACGTACGCACACATGCAAGAATTGCGTGGCAATAACTTGTAAAAGCATCATGATCAAGTCATTTCTTCAAACCTCTCCAAGGAGCTGAAAGAGCACCCTTCCTGTATCCCATTGRGGGAGCTAACCACTGAGCTGCTCCTTACGTGTGTTTGTGGGAAGTGACCGGATGCCGATTCGGGAACGTGCTGCCAGGTCTGCTCCATGGCAAGCTCAAGTTGCTGGAACTTGCCCCAACGAGCACACTGTGCTTGCTGAGCTTCAGTACAGTCTACTATTTCTGTGCTCAAATTTTGCTGCAACTTATGTGGTAGTTTTATTGGTAGAGCTAGAGGRCTGTGTCATTGTTAAGGGTACATACTTCTGGGAACTGAGGTTTAAAAAAAGATTTTTTGATTTACTTTAACGATGTAAGGTGCTCAGTTACATTAGTTTATAGACACAGAGTGCATCCTAACATAATGAAATGACAGAGCTTTCTTCTCAAAACCATGCTAAGCAGTGCTAACCTCTACTTCAAGCAATGGCAGAAGTTAAATAAAGGTCAGAGACTTGAAATTGTTAATAAATTAAACATTCAGATTGCTACTGCTCTTTAAATATAGATCTGAAAGGCTAGAAGATGCTATAAAATACCTTTTAAAGTGGGTTAATAAACCTACTTTAAATCTATCTATATATATAACCTCTTCATACATGAGATTAAAGATCAGAAGAGACAGCTGTCCCGGGTACTATTACTTCAAAAAACCACCCCACATCCAAGGAACACATCTGCAGGAGAACACAAGAAAAGAATAAACTGTGTCCATATTTCCAACTTTTGTCAGTAGACTGATTATAACTGTCTGACAGATTAGCTTACAACTATTTCCCCACAATTCAGATAATAAAATAAATTWAAAAAAAAATCAATGTAATGGATTTCTTTCACTACATTCCAGTTCTTTCACCAAATTATACCTTTTTCCTGGGAATTTCAATTTTGCTGAGATGGATAGTGGGTGCTTTATCGCCCCCCATGAAATTTATTTCTAGTTTTCTCTATTTGGAATGTTGTTACACAACTGGAACCATATTATAACTTTTTAGTACATTTGCACTTAATACAATATTGCCAGRTTATAG